TTCCCCCGACGAGGGGTCAGATTTCCCCGACGAAAGCAAAGTGGGCGTGGTCAATCGATTAAAGGGGTTTCGAAAGTGGTCCATTTTGACAATTTAGGGGCCCGTTTAGGGTTTCAAGGGCTTATTAAATCAATTTTGGAGTCTACTAATATGTAGAAAGTACATATTTCTTTTTTTCTCCCTACGAATTGTTATTCTGTAAGCGCTATTAGTCCTATGATTCCAGATCACTAAATTACTCGTATATACTGCTGTTCTTATTCATTAAGGGGTCGGGCGCGTGTTTTTTAGGATGTGATGAGAGAGGAGATGTGAGTCTTACGAGCATCGGGGATAGTTCATCCTATGATCAATATTTATAGATACATCGTTAGTGTAGATATTTGCAACGTCACACCGACACAGTACACTTTGTTTATTAGGATATTGGCATAAAAACTATAATTGAAGTGCGCCACGACACTGTCACTATCGCTTGTGTAGTTAATGGCACGGAAGTACGGACTAATAATTTAATATTTATCAACAAACATCATTATCATCACATCAACGCTGTCGTCATCATCATCCTCATCAACGTCGTCGTGTTGCCGTCGTCGAGACCATCACTATCATCACCGTCGTCGTCATTATGATCAAAATTGTTAACACCATTTACATAATAATAATAATAATAATAATAATAATAATAATAATAATAATAATAATAATAATAATAATAATAATAATAAACCATAATTATTATATAACAATCATCATCAGCATTATATAACGACCACCATTATCATCGTTATCATCATCATCATGATCGTAAATATTTTTTTTCTCTGGTTTGAAGTTTTGTATTTTCTTTTTCTGACTTGATTTAGTTTTAATGTTATACTTTTTACCCGTTTTAGTTTTAGTGTAGGCCTACGTTATTTTGAACTTCTTTTTGCTTTCTTTATATTAGATATAGTTCTTGGGTGCACCATCAAAGTGATGGGTGCTACTGATCTGAAAGTGAACCCGATAAGTCGTATCGTTTCATCACCTTCATCATCGTCTTAATTATCATAATTGTTGTCTTAATTATTGCATCAATATTAGGCCTAAAAACCAGCATCATCATCACCACCATCATCATCAAATGCTAACCACATCGTCACATATCTTATCATCATCGTCACATATCTTATCATCATCAACATCATCTTTTTTTTTCTCGGCTTCTAAATTATGCATTTTCTTTTCAATGAACAAAATATCTTTGAAATTAAGCATTGAATGTATTGGAAAGAAACATTAGAAACAAAGGCGTGGGTAGACGGGAGGTGGTGGTCCTATCACTGATCAGGTATTGTTAGTTTTTGTCGTAAAAATGCCGTGATGATACATATCAATTTGACTTTGGCGCCCTCATTTTGAAGAACGACCCGGATGGTGGTGGTAACACAACTGCCAACTACAGCTGTGTGGTAAGATCGCGAAGAACCTTTAAACACATAGTTAGAGATGCGATGAGAAATAGATAGAAGTAAAGCTTTTGCCGCGAAGAAGTATATGATGTCTCAGTCTTTGGAGAAATAATACAAACGATAATTATGGTGCCACTAATTAATCGGAATTAATGATTGGAATTGTTCATAAACGAAGAAGCTGAATCAAGCAATCGAAATGGATAGAACATCGACAGGTAAACTCTCTCTTTCAAAACTGTGATTTCTCATGTGTCGTCTGATTCTGGAATTTATGAAAGCAGTTGACAGAACTGGTGTGTAGGTGCTTTAGTCGCGTTAAAAGTTGTTTACCGTAGGTTGACTTTATTTAGGCGATGTAGCTATACTACTAAAGTCCTCTAGGTCCATAACCAATATCAATATATTATATATTGTTTATGGAGTAGATTTGGCCGCCTTTTGAAAATTGAATGAATTGAGTCTCATCTCACAGACACTTGGGATTGATCTTGAACCAGTCCCCTCACAGTCGCTGACACAACCAAAACCCAACAGGTCTTTAAAAGACGAGCTTTCAAATACCGGATCTATAATTGTATGCCGACGACATAAATACGATTGAACAAGAACTAGATCAGACAGCAAATGTAATGCTCTTTTAACAAAGTGTATGTAAAAACGGGAGTCTTAGTAGATAATTAAATAACATTCGTTTGATCTTAATTAGACCTTGAGCTTTAGAATCAATAAACACATGTGTTTTTTCCAAATGAGAACAAATCAAATTCAAGCTCTGTCCTTTGTTCGAGACTAACTTTAGGTAAAATATCCAAATAAATGAATCGATGTTGCCTGTTTGTGTACGGATACTCAAGATTCAAAACTGAAATGAAATACGTGAGAAGAGACATCAAAATGGTAACCCTGATAGGTCGTGTGCTAGATTTTATCAATCTATTGAGCAGTGTATTTGTTCTGTGTAACTGTACACAGATATTCTCTATTGACCTCTGGTATTGTAGCTTTTTTTTAAATTTGATTTGTGTGAATTTAGACCAATCCAATGCTTTAAAAAAAAATTAAATTGTTAAACTATCATTGATAATACAATTTGTATTGTTATTTTCCTTTTGTTCTAATTGACAGTTTTTCAGCATAAAAGTAATCTTTTTATGAGTGTTTTATGGGAAATTCGTTAAATCATGTACTTTGACCGCTCAGTGACCCCTTTTCTCTTATGATGTAATTTTATTGTTAGTGGATTGAATTGAAGTTTATTTTTAATGTCTTCACATCTAACGAGTGACTCAACTAGATGAAAGCATTACAAGGTCTTATAGTGAGGATTTTATTTGTTTGTTAGTAAAAATGCTTACTTCATGATTTAAACCCTGGATTTGAAGGAAAGAATCTGAACCACCAGCTAAAGCTTCACTCCCTGAACTTTCTGATGGGAAAGTAGCTTACAGTAGTTTAGTTGGCCAAACTGGTGGTACTATTCTTGGTGTTTACTATAGTTGGTTATCTTTAAATTTTAGCAAGACAATAGAAATATCGACCTACTGTTCTATATGGTCAACACGAGATACCATATGAAATTAGCACGCACTCTATGTAAAAACCGTTATTACAGAGGCCAGCAACACTAACAGCTGTTATGGGTGTACAACAGTATGCTCATAGGGTGGAGCTTTTCTTCCGCTGGGGTGATGCGTTCGTATTCACTGTCTGCGTATCAAGTCTTCCGACCTGAATCCCGAGGTTTGGGGTTCAGGTATTATTTTATCCAACATAATTTATTTGAGGAAATTTAAAAAAAAAATTTACTATAGTCATAGGGAGATGAGTCTTCAGCTAACATCATCTGACCTATGTTAATCCTATGTCAATTCACTGTTGCTGGTTTCCATGGTGATCTAAATCTGAAGTTAACAAAATTAACCATTACTTATTCATGCACGGCTGAGGGTAATTAAAGGATAATTTTGTTAACGGTCCAGGTGTTATTCAGAAACACAGCCTTTGTCAAATTCAAGTACAGTATAACATTTGGAATTTATTGGGAAGGCTTTGATACTAGAAAGAAAAGAAAAATGAAATGATAAAAAGGTAAAGAATTGAAAAGATGAAAATTAAGAAAAATATTAGAAATGATAAATGAAAAAAGGCATTCAAAGACAAGATGAAAGCATATAAAAGGAAGGGAAAAAAAATAAGACAAAAAAAAAAAAATGAATATTTTATAGCACAGAATAAATGAAAGCTAAAAAAAGACATAATTATTAATACACTCTGCTTTGAGCACCCAATCTTTTGGGTGGGAAATGTGTGCATTATTTAAAATATTAATTATTATTAAATTAAGATTCTGCCCCAACATGAAAACAATTCAGATGTTGAAATAATGCCACATTCTTTACAGAAAGCTGTTTGAAATTTCTATTGTAAGTAAACATTAGATTTAAACTTAATATAGATTTCAGATGTTTTTGTGAGCAGTACTGTAGTACCGTACTATATTTATATAGCACTTTGTACTGACATACGGTACTGTACCACGGTCTTTACTAGCTTGTACAGTACAAGAAATTGAACCAGTTTTGTTGATGAACACAGGGGCGTACCGTGGGGGGTGGGGTCGACCCCACCTTTTAAAGAAAGTGCCCTTTAAATATGCTCGCTTCACTCACAAATAACGCACCCCGCGAATTCTGAAAGCTTCACTAAATTGCTCCAAGTTCAGCTTGCCCCCTGCGCTTTCATTTCGAACCTCCCCCCTTAGATTTTTCACCGTACGCCCATGTGAACATGAAATTTACAAATCTATGAGTCTTCCTGAGCTATGAAATTAATAAAATATGAAGTATGACAAAAAGAATTGGTTTTGAAGAGGGGATCGCTTCCCCTTGAGTTTTTTAGCAAAAGTCCATGAGAGAACTACAGCAACTACTGAATCAGCGTGCTTTTATTTTGAAAACCTTGTCAAAGGGAATGAGATTTGGATGGCTTGCAATTTTTACTCATGTGCCTTCCATTGTTGACCTTGATATTATAAGTAGCGTCTTTCCAAGTACCTACAGGCAATATAGCAACATATTGGCCATGTTTAGCAGCAGCTGACCAGTTGAATCAAATACTGTAGTTGTTAATTACGTATGCTGCATTGCCTAGATCACCAATATTCCTTTAATGAATTGTAATGCAGGTAATACAATAATGAAACACGGCCATTGATTTACCAAATTAAGGTAGAAGGAAATTTATTAATCAGGTATGGTCCATTTTCATTGACTGTATTGTCCAAGTTCATTGGATATCAGTATATTGGTCCTTGTTCATTGGCGAAATTGGCCACTGTCTTGGTCTTCGGTCATCAGACTTTATTGGTACAGTATTTGTAATTGGTCTTTTTAATTGTTCATTGACTGTTGGCGATTTGACCGTTGGTTATAATATTATTAGCTAATTTGGTATTGGTCATTTTGTATTGACTGTCAGTGTTACCAGTATGCTTCTACAGTAGTATAGGTCATTGGCTATCATTTTTTGGTCATTGACACTTGGCCTAATTGAGTGTCGGTAATTGCGTTTGGCAATTTACTTTAATTGCAAGTAAAGTTTTTTAATTTAAGATATAAACTATACAAGATATCAGGCCCGTAGCCAGGGGATTTTTCAGAAAATTCCCTTTTGTTCAGCAAACCCCCAACCCAAATAGCCAATGAACCCTTTAAAATCCCTCCCTCTATACTCAGTGGATGATTCTCTCCTTCACAAAAATTTCTATTGTAGGATTATTACAAATATACTATTTTTAAAATTGCAAGACATCTTTAAAGCCCTCTGAACCCCATTTGGCTCTTAGGTGATGTCCCTTAACCCGATACTTAGAATCCCCTCCCTCGTTTTGTAGATGCTGGCCTGAATACAGTAGGCACAGTATTTATAATGGTGAATTGTCAAACCAACTATACGATAGTGATTTTTTATACTTTGTTATTATATAACTGATTTTTTTCACTTCAAGAACCAAACTTTTTAAAGAATATTACAGGTATATATCATTATGTACTGCAGCTTCATATTCTGTATTTTTTATTTATTGTTTTTAAAGGGCATCTATCTCCATAAATTGCTTTTAGGAATGTAGCTGTATAAAAATCATTTTTATTACTGGTGAACTTTGACCCTTGTGCACAAATGCATTCAGCATTATGTCTCCTATCAGTATCAATCACGTTTTGATAGATTTGATTGAAAAGTATCATGGAAATAAATACCAGTAGTGTATAATGGACGACAGAAGGCATCAACACAACATGATGCAGTACAAAACTGCAAACTGTTTTCTAAGTAAATTGTAAACATATACATGAAAGTCTGGAAAATTCATCTTTATATATTATAAATATTATTCTTCCAAGTACCTATATGTAACCAAAACATTGGCCATGTTTAGCAGTAGTTGATCTGTTAAAACAAACATTCGTTAATTATGTATACTGCCCAAATAACTCATAAAACTCCCAAAAAATCCTTCCATCTATACACGATGCATTACAAAACAGAAACTGTTTTCTAAAGTACATTGCAAACACATACTTGCTATATGGAAATCTGGACAATTCATCTTATATATTATAAGTACCATCCTTCCAAGTACCTATATGTAACTAATACATTGGCCATGTTTAGCAGCAGTTGACCTGTTGAAACAAGTATCTGTTAATTTTGGATACTGCCCAAATAGCACATAAAATCCCCAAAAAATCCTTCTGTCCATACACAATTCATTACAAAACATGACAGAAGGCATCAACACAACATGATGCAGTACAAAACTGCAAACTGTTTTCTAAGTAAATTGTAAACATATACTGTATGAAAGTCTGGAAAATTCATCTTTATATATTATAAATATTATTCTTCCAAGTACCTATATGTAACCAACACATTGGCCATGTTTAGCAGTAATTGACAGGCTGTTAAAACAAGCATCTGTTAATTATGTATACTGCCCAAATAACTCATAAAACTCCAAAAAATCCTTCCATCTATACACGATGCATTACAAAACAGAAACTGTTTTCTGAAGTACATTGCAAACACATACTTGCTATATGGAAATCTGGACAATTCATCTTATATATTATAAGTACCATCCTTCCAAGTACCTATCTGTAACTAATACATTGGCCATGTTTAGCAGCAGTTGACCTGTTGAAACAAGTATCTGTCAATTTTGGATACTGCCCAAATAGCACATAAAATCCCCAAAAAATCCTTCCGTCCATACACAATTCATTACAAAACAGAAACTGCTTTCTGAAGTACATTGTAAACATACTATAGTCTGGAGAATCCATGAAAATTTAAACTTTCAAAGTTGCTCATGTCAAACTATTTTGTTTTTGGTGATTTCAGACTTTAATATAAAAATCTTAATAGACAATTAATTTAGGTTCTACAATACACAAAGGAATACGTATGTATCCCTTTATTATGATTTTGATTCAAGTAAATATAAAAGTAATATTTAGCCCAACATAGACAATGTATAATAGGCCTACATCTTCAATGAGGTTTTTTTCTATTGTTGTGGCGTTCATTATTAACATGTCATCTTTGCCATAAGTGTAAGAGAAAAATGCCACAATAGAGACTTTATTCACTAATTACCAATTTCACATTCTAACGAGCTATTTTAAGCGCCTGTTAATTATAAATGCAGCTATTGTGCCAATGCATGTCATACAGTGTATGCCTGGACTAATTTGTGTTGTCAGTACATTATAAAACTGCGTTAGTGATGTTAAGGTATACCACAGATAGAAATAATTTGGCACAGTTAATAACCAGCAGAACATACAGTACTTGAAGTGTTGAGAAGCTGTTATGTTCAGTATTTAAAAATGGGTTCTGGCAAATTTTGACGGAGGCTAGCACTACTGTACACTATACAAATATCATGACCTTGTTGAGGTCCAGGAGCTAAGCTCTTTGGTGGAAGAGAAACTGGGCGATGTTAGGCCATTGTAAGTTGTTCTGGGATGTTTCATAATGAACGGTAAAAGAATAAAAAATTTAATATAACTTAATAAATGCAAATACTATATATAAAAAGGTTTGTAACTTGATCTTAAAATTGAAGAGAAAGTGTAAATGACCATTTACCATTCCATTATTGTATTTTCCATTTTGTTCAAATCTGATTGTATAATCATGTTTTAAAAAAAATTCTTTTGGTTAATTAATAGTACATACAGTATGCAAATAATTTGACTTGTGTAGTGGGAAATCCAGCTGGTTGCCTTGTTAATTTGCATAATTATTAATAGATGAGTCAGCTGAGACTGACTAATTTTTATAATATCTTTTACAATGAAGAAATATATTTCTCCAAGTCTTGTCTGCTTGACTGTTGATTATAATAATTTATTATGAACTACATTTTTTTTTCATTGGAAGGTGGATTCAAAACAATTAATATAAGAAATAAAACAAAGCAAACAAAAATAAGAATTTCAAAAGGAATATTGAACATTGAGGCAGTTGGCAAACAGAAGGTCCAAGTTTTGTACAATATCATACAGTGCATATTGAAGTAGTCCATGCCTGTGTGCATTAGACTTTTCCACAGATTTAATCGAACCTAACAACCGACCAATCAGAAAAGGGCCAGGAATATGCACATGTATCACAAACACATGTTGTCCCACAAATTCTTGTGTTTGCGTATGTCTTAACACTGTCGCCTTCTGGGACCTTAGCAATAATGTCCAATGGAGTGGGGGAGGGGGAGCGTAGCGGAAAGGTCACATGTTATTTCTTTACCGTTTCTTTTACCTATATTAATTCATGGTTGCTTCTTTGGAATGCTCGTTATTCATGTCATTGAGCCTGTCACTTTTTTTTTTGTTTAATACCTGCGTTGCATTTAGAAAAATCTAGCAAAATGTTAACATAAAAAATCTAAATGCTTGTAAATGAAGTAGACATCTTTATAGTTAATTATGCCAGCAATTTATCAGTGGACAGTCAGATTATAAACAATATGGAACTGCTTGAAAGAAAAAAATATTGAGAAAGAAGAGGAAACAAATTAAAATTTATACACAATATTAAGAAAAAGCAATTTATTAATAAATTATTTTACTAAACTATTTTTTAAGGATACCGCTGTACAAATCCAATTTTCCCATCATGTCGTTTTATCAAAATGTCTTGGGAAAGGGAATGGCTGAGTTGGCAGACATCTAGGTCATGGCAACTCAAATTACAATAGAGAAAATCAATACAAATTTTGTAAATGAATCGATCTTAACACCAGTTTGTATAACGTTGATTGATTAAGTGTTGGATCTTAATATTTACAACTTTATCATTTTATTGTGAGGTTATTTGTTGTTGTATTAAAGCTTTCAATAGCTCTGTTTTTAGTAGAAATATAATACCACCTGTATTATGTCATTAACTATATGAACTGACTTAAAAAATGTAGCCTTCAACAATAAAAACACTATATTAAATGTTAATGCATTTTGAAATAGCATGAGTTGGGTTGCATTAGCCTTTATTAATACACAAAGAATATTTAGTAAGGTAGGGAAATTAACATAAATGCTTTGAATGGAAAATGGTTGATTTATTGATTGGTGTTCTGGCTTTCAACCTTGAAGTC